CTCTTTGTTCATTGACTCCAGTCAGTCTTATGTTATTCTTCTTTGCATGGTCTAGCAGCTGCTGGATTGATTTCTCGTGTTCCCTTACAATTTTAAAGCAATTTTTCTTTTTCTGGTCACTAATTGCAATCTTTTCTTCTGTATCTGAAATTCTATCCTCACATTGGTTCATTCTGCTGCGTAGACTTTCAATGGAGTTTTTAATCTCCTGGAAATCTGTTTACATCTGTTTTATGGATTCCATTTGTTTACTGTGTTGGAATTCCGTCATGTTCCTCAGCTCCTCTATTTTTTTATCTGTGTCCTCTAGATTTATTAATCATGCCTTGCACTATGGGAACAATCTCTGCTGATATGTGAGAAGTTATTTCTTCTTTTTTATTTAAAATAACTTTATTGTCAAACACACATACAAAAATTAAAACCATTCAAAGAAGAACAGTGCAAGGAAATAAAACTACAATAATATTCAAATACAGTAGAACTCAACAAAAACAAAAATGAAAAGCTCTTAAACATTTTTCCATATAGCTTAAAAAAACATTTCAAGCACCAAAAAGACACCAGAGGATGTGATTTGTTTCAGAAAGATCCCCCAAACCAACATTGAACAAACAGTGGTCTGGAAAAAAAATTCCAGTTAGCTAGCAGACTCCACATAAGCCAAACTTCTCCCTAATTAAATTTCTATACAGTCATATGACATGCGATGGAAACACAATTGGAGAAATATGTTATTGGGCCATTTCATCCATGCGTATCCTTAATTACAGTTTCAGTTTCTCACACTAGAGAAACTATTTGGTATTTACACATGTGTGTCCTGTTTATTTAACTTAAGAGGATGGCCTCAATATGCATCCATTTAGCTATAAATGTCTCTAGTTTCTGGTTCTTTTTTTTCTTTTTTTTTTTTCCTGCCGGGGATCAAACCTCGGGTCCTTGTGCTTGCGCAATAGGCGGCAAAACCACTGAGCTAAATCCCCAGCCCTCTACTTTCTGGTTCTTTATGGCTGAGTAGTACTCCATTTTATAAAAAAAACCACATCTTCTTTATCCAGTCTCCAGTTGATGGGCACTTGGGTTGTTTCCAAGCTTTAGCTGTTACAAACTGTGCTGCTATAAAAATGGGTGCACATGTATCACTGTGGTATAATTCTTTTAATTCTTTGGGGAAGATACCCGGCAGGGGAATAGCTGGGTCAAATGGGACCTCTAGTCGTAGTTCTTTGAGGAATCTCCATACTGATTTCCACAGTGGTTGCACCAGTCTGTACTCCCACCAACAATGGAGAAGCGCTCCTTTCTCCCCACACCCCCGCCAAATTTGTTATTGGTTGATTTCTTGATAGCAGCCATTCTTTCTGGGGTGAGGTGGAATCTCAATGTTGTTTTCATCTGCATCTCAAATAACCAGTGATGTTGAACATTTTTTCATGCGTTTATTTGCTGCTTTTACTTCTTTGTTTGAGAAATGTCTGTTCAATTCAGATGCCCATTTTTGAATTGGGTCTTTGAATTTGGAGTGTTTGGTTTTTTTCAGTTCTTTATATATTCTAGATAGTACTCCTTTGTCTAAGGTACAGTTGCTGAAAATTTTTTCCCACATTGTAGGTTGTCTGTTAGCTCTGTTGGTGGTTTCTCTTGCAGTGCAGAAGCTTTTTAATAAGATGAGATCCCAGTTGTTGACTCTTTGTGCAAGTTCCCGTGCCACTGAGGTTTTGTTCTTAAAGTCTTTTCCTATACCAGTGTCTTCATGAGTTCTACCTAACTTATCTTCCAGCAAATTTAGTGTTTTTGTCTTGATATTTAAATCTTTAATCCATTTTGATTTTATGTGTGGTGATAGGTATGGGTCTAGTTTTAATCTTTGGCGGGTTGAAATCTAGTTTTTCCAACACCATTTATTAAATAGGCTATCTTTCCTCCAATGAGGATGGTTGGCTCCTTTGTCAAAGATGAGGTAGCTGAGCATATCTGTAGTTGTTCTTGCATCTTCTAATCTATTCCACTGATCCTTGGGTCTGTTTCTTTGCCAGTACCATGCTGTTTTTATCACAGTAGCTTTTAGTATAGTTTTAAGTTGGAGATTGTAATACCCCTAGCCATATCTCTGTTGCCTAAAATTTCTTTTGCTATTCTATATGTCTTCTAGTTCCAAATGAACTTTTGGATTGTTTTCTCTAGTTCTGTGAAATATATTGTTGGAATTTCAATCGGCATTGCATTAAACGTATATAATAGTTTTGGAAGTGTGGCTATTTTCACTATATTGATTCTTCCTATCCAGGAACAAGGGATGTCTTTCCATGTTATTATATCCTGCTCAATCTCATTTTTTAGAGTGCTATAGTTTTCAGTGCAGAGGTCTTTTGCTTCCTTTGTTAGATTGACTCCTAGATATTTCAGTTTTTTGGATGCTGTTGTAAAAGGAATCGTTTCCTAATTTCTCTCTCAGTGAGTCTATTATTTGTATATAAAAAGGATATTGTTTTTTGAGTGCTGACCCTGTATCCAGCTGCTCTACTGAATCTGTCAATTAGGTCTAGAAGTCTTTTGGCAGAGTATTTTGGGTCTTCTATGTAAAGTATCATATCATCAACAAATAATGACAGTTTAACTTCTTCCTTTCCCATTTTTATTCTTTTTATTTCTTTCTCTTTTCTCATTGCTGTGGCTAATGTTTCAAGAACAATATGAAACAGGAGTGATGATAGTGGGCCTCCTTGTCTTGTTCCTGATTTTAGTGTGAAAGTTTTCAGTTTTTGACCATTTAGGATGATGTTGGCTGTTTGTTTTTCATAGATAGCCTTAATCAGGTTAAGATAAAGACCTTCTATTCCAATTTTCTGAAGGGTTTTTATCATGAATGGGTGCTGGATTTTGTCGAATGCTTTTTCTGCATCTATTGAGATGATCATATGGTTTTTGTCCTTGACTCTGTTAATATGGTGTATTACATTTATTGATTTACTAATGTTGAACCATCCTTGCTTCCCTGGGATAAATCTAACTTGCTCAGGGTGTATGATCTTCTTGATGACCCTCTGTATTCTGTTAGCCAGTATCTTGTTGAGGATTTTTGCATCTATGTTCATTAGGTAGATTGGCCTGTAGTTCTCTTTTTGGGCAGTGTCTTTCCCTGGTTTTGGAATCAAAGTAATACTTGCTTCCAGGAATGAATTTGGAAGCTTTGCTTCCCTTTCAATTTCCTTGATGCATTTAAACAGTAATGGCAATAGTTCTTTAAATGTCTTGTAGAATTCAGCAGTGAAGCCATCAGGACCTGGGCTTTTCTCCTTCCCTCTTTCCCTTTCATCCATCCATCCATCCATCCATCTATCCATCTTTCCTCCCTGATTGAACATGGGGCCTTCCCAGTGAGCTACATCCTCAGTACTTTTGTGTTTTTAATTTTGAGACAGGGTCTCAATAAGTTGCCCACGCTGGGCTCAAACTTGCAGTCCTCCTGTCTCAGCCTCCCAGAGGACTCGGTTTACAAATGTGCACCATGCCTAATGTTTTTTTTTTCATTCTAACATTTCAAGTATTTCACTCTTTTACTGCTTTCTGAAGAGAAGTCTGATGTAATTCTTATCCTTGTTTTTGTATGTAAGGAGGTTTTTTTTGTAAAATTTTCTCTCTTTTTTTGATATATGGTCTTGCTACATAGTTAAGTTCAGGCTGACCTTGAACTTACAATGTAGCTCAGCCTGGGCTCAAACTCGTGATGATCCTCCTGCCTCAGCCTCCCAAGTGCTGGGATTACAGGCTTGCGCCACCACGTCTGGCTTCTCTTTGTTTTGATTTTTGATAGTTTAATATGATAGAGCTAAGTGTAGATATTTTGGTATTTGTCATGTTGATGTGCTCTGAGCTTCTTAGATCTATGGTTTAGTGTCTTGTCATTAATTTTAGAAAATTTCAAGCCATTCTTCAAATGTTTTTAGTTCCTTTCTTTCATTCTTTTCATATATGCAGTCTTTTCATATATGTATGTATGTATCTATTTATTTGTTTTGTGGTACTGAGGATTAAATCTAGGGCCTTTGCACCAAGATACATCTCTACACCTTTTTTATTTTTATTTTGAGACAGAGTCTCATGAAGTTTCTAAGTTGCCCAGGCTGGGCCGACTTGAGATACTCCTGTGTCAGCCTCCAGAGTGCCCTTTCCTTCTGATATTTAATTACTCGTTCTTGACATTTTTTATAATTCCTGTACCTGAGGTGTTAGAGACTAAAATTTCTCCAATGTGTTTGTTCTTGTTTCCTCTTTTGTCTTTGGGTTTTCCTAGAATTGTCTTCTTAAATGGAATCTGATCTATAGTTCTTTCATTTTTAATCTCCTGATACTGTTTAGGAGCCTGTTGATGTGTAGTAATTTGATGGGGGAGCAGAAGTGCACTATGAGTATACACTTAGGCTCAGATTTTTGGGGGGCCCACGCTGACCTTCAGAAGTGTTTGTCAACTTTTCTCCCCATTAGGTGAGACAAGGAGGCTAGAGGAAGGTAGAGTTGAATATTTCTCTTTAGTTAGGTTCTGCTAAAATAGTTTTCCTTGAAGCCTGGGTTTTAACAGCAGAATGCTCTGGGTGTATTTTTACATTATTACTTTCCTAATTTTTTTGCAGAAAATGTGGGGGCTTTTCTTTGAATCTTTATCCAGAAATTTGGTAGAATTTCTTTTTTTTATTATGCATTTTTTTACTAGTGTATGTTTGCAGTACATCCTGATTACATTTATTGTGGGGAATTTGTACATGTACATAATGTATCTTAATTCATTTCTGTTCCGTTCCCCTCCTAATCCCCTCTGCTCCCTCAAACTCTTGATCCCCTTTTCATTTGAAAAAGCTCTATTTCCATTTTTTTCTCTGATTCTTTTTTTAAATACTTTTTCCCTTTTTTCCCTCCCCCCCATATCTCTTCCCCTTCCCATTTGAAAAAACTCTCCCTGCTTCCTATTATCTGTCCTTTCTTTTGCTCTTTTTTTGCAGAACCAGGGATTGGATTTAGGACCTTGCACTTGCCAGGTAGGCATGGCGTCACTGAGCTACATCCTGGCCCTCTTTCATTCTTTATTTGTATCATGAGCTTCCATATTACTTATGTTCCATATTGAAATATATTCCATGTAATTGGAACATGTTCCATATAATAAACTTGTGTGTCTGATTTTTTCACTTGACATTATAGTCTTGAGGTGCATCCATTTATCTACAGATGATTTAAGTTTATGCTTCTTTACGGCAGAGGAGTACTATTGTATATTATAAATACTACATTTTCTTTGTCCATTAATCTGTTGATGGACCTATAAGCTGCTTCCAAGATTTAAGTATTACAAATTGTGCTGCTATAAACATGGGTATACATGTATCACTATAATATGATGACTTTTAAATTACTGCTTCTGAGATGTGTCTGTTCACTTTTGATGCCCATTTTTTTATTGGGTTTTTAATTTGGGGGGCGGTCTTAATTTTTTTGAGTTCTTTATATATTCTAGATGTTAATGATGTGTCTGAGGACTAGCTGGCAAATTTTTTTTTTCCATTCTGTAAGTTGTTTCTTTACTCTGTTGGTTTCTTTTGATTTGCAGAAGCTTTTCAATTTGACAAGATCCTATTTGTTGTTTCTCAGTATTATTTCTTATGCCATTGGAGTTCTGTTCAGAAAGTCCTTTTCTACAGGTATAGCTTCAAGAGTATTATATTTTATATTCTACCAGATTAAGTGTTTCTATTTTAACATTTAGATCTTTGATCCATTTATATTTTAGGTTAGTACATGGTGAGATATGTGAGTCTAGACTCAGTCTTCTTCATGTGGATATGCAATTTTCCAAGCACTATTTATAAAGAAGCTGTCTTTCCTCCAGTGTACATTTTTGGCCCCTTTGCTGAAGATCAAATAGTTGAATGTGCCTGAGATTGTATCTGCTTTATTCTGTTTCATTCATCCACATTTCTGTTTTTGTGCCAGTTACATGCTATTTTTATTACCATAACTTGGTAATATAACTTCAAATCTAGGATTGTAGTACCTTCAGCTTTATAATTGTTACTCAGAATTGCTTTTGCTATTCTGGGTCTCTTCTGGAGCCACATTAAATTTTAGATAGTTTTCTCTAGATCTGTGAAGAATGCTGTTGGTACTTTGATTGAGGTTGCCTTAAATCTGTATATCAGTTTCAGAAAAAGCCATTTTGACTATATTGGTTCTGCCTATCCAGGACATTTTCTGATGTCCTCTTCAATCTCCTTTTTCAGAGTGATGTAATTTTTGTTGGGGAGGTTTTTCACTACCTTAGTTAGGTTAATTCCTTAAGTATTTCGTTTTTCTTGATGCTACTGTGATGAGTATTGTTTCCCTAATTTATTTCTCAGTGTGTTTATTATTAGTATATAGGACTGCTATTGATTTTTGAGTGTTGATTCTGTATCCTGCTACATCACCAAATTTGGTTACTGATTTTAGGACTCTTTTAGTGGAATTATTAGGGTCTACTAAGTAGAGGATCATGTAATCTGCAGGTAATGATACTTTGACTTCTTCTTTTTTATCATATCCCTTTCATTTCTCTTTCCTGATTGCTCTGGATAATGCTTTGAGGCCTTTTTAAATGTGAGTGGTGATAGTAGACATCCTTGTTTTCTTCTAGGTATTAGAAGGAAAGCTTTCAGTTTTTCCTTATTTAATATGATGTTGGCAGAAGGTTTGTCATAAATGATTTTTATTTAAAAAATGGCTTTTATCAGATTGAGATAAGGTCCTTCTATACAGTAAGTCCCCAACTTAAGAATCAGTTTTCCTGGGAATGTAGCTCCATGATACCAGGGGGATAAAAAAAGGGATGAGTTTCATTCTGTGAGAACTTTCTTAAGTAGGATTTGTTCCTAGGTTTGATTCATTCGTAAGTCTGACAAAGTGAGTCTTACACTGTATTTTCACTTTTGTTTACGTGGTTAGTCCTTTGGGCTTCATAACAGTCCCCTCCGCATCACCACTGCTTTTCCCCACTTTGGGACATCCTGGGCTGATTGAGCACTGTACACTATAGCACTTTATAGTAAACACACAGCAGCACAACTGTGACAATGTTTGGGACACATGTGAGCTACTTTGTTCACATCTACGAATGTTCGTAGTGCAAGGTCTGTTTGTATCTGTGAAAGTTTGCAACTTTTTTTTTTTTGGTACCCGGGAGTTCAGGACCTTGTGCTTGTGAGGCAGGTGTGGTGCCAGTGAGCTAAATCCCCAGCTCAGTTTGCAACTTGAGTGTTTCTAAGTCTGTGACTCACTGAACCTATTTTCTTCAGGGTTTTAATCTTGAATGGATGTTGCATTTTGTCAAAGTTCTTTTCTGCATCTATTGAGATGATCATGTGACTTTTGCCCTTGCTTCTGTTTATGTGATAAATTATATTTATTGATTTGCGTATGTTGAACCATTATTGCATCTCTGGGATTAAGCCTTCTTGTTCAAGGTGTATGATCTTTTTGATGATTTGTTACATTCTATTTGCTTGTATCTTGCTGAGGATTTTTGCATTTATGTTCACTAGAGAGATTTGCCTTATCTGGTTTTGGAATCAGTAATACTAGCTTCCAGGAATGATTTTGGGAGTACTCCTTCCCTTTTAGTGTCATTAAAGATTTTAAGGAATATTGGCATTCAGTCTTCCCTGTAGTTCTGGTAAAATTACTCAGTGAATCCATCAGATTCTTGGCTTTTCTTACTTTTTTATTACTGCTTCAATTTAATTGCCTATTATTGGATTATTCAGTAGTTTTAAATCTTCTTGGTTCAGTTTTGGTAATTCATATGTATTTAGGAATCTATTTCTTCTAAGTTCTCCAATTTATTGGTGTACAAATTTGTGAAGTAGTTAATAATATTGTGGATTTTGGCAGTGACTGTTTTGATTTCACCGTCTTCATTTCTAATTGCATTGATTTGTGTCTTTCCTTTTTTATATATAAGAATGGCTAGGGATTTGTCTATTTTGCTTATTCTTTTAAAGAACAAGCTCTTTGATGCATTGATCCTTTTTAAAAATTTTTATTTTTTGAGACAGGATCTTGCTATGTAGTCCAGTCTGGCCTTGAACTTACAGCAATCCTCCTGCCTCAGCCTCCCCAGTGCTGTGATTACAGATGTGTGCCACCATACCCAGATGATTCATTGATTTTTTTTGGTATTGTTTTTTAATCTATTTAATTGATGTCTACTGTGGTCTTTTTAATATCCTTCCTAGTACTGGCTGTGGCTTTGGATTGTTCTTGTTTCTTTAGGACCTTGAGGTGCATCATTAGGTTATTTATTTGGTCTTGCTCTAATTTTCTTTTCTTTTTGTTTTTTTTGTACCGGGGATCAAACTCAGGACAGTGCAGTTGTGAGACAGGTGGTAGAACCACTGAGTTAAATCCCTTGCCCTTGCTCTGTTTTTCATATGTGGGCATTCATAGCTATAAACTTAGCTCTTAGGACTGCTTTCATTGTGTCCCATAAGTTCTGGTATGTCGTACTGGCATTATCATTTAATTTTAGAAGGTGTCTTCTTAATTTCTTTTGTGACCCATTGATTATTCAAGATTCTGTTGCTTAATTTCCACATGTTTGCATAATTTGTATGGTTTCTTTAGCCATTGACTTCTAGTTTCATTGCACTATCATCTGGTAATATGCATGGTAAAATTTCAATTCCTTTGCATGTACTTAAGCATGCTTTATTTGCTAATATGTCATCTATTTGGGAAGAAAGTTCCATGTGCTACTGAGAATGTGTATTCTGCTGTTGTTGGTTGGAACACTGACTTTGTTTGAAGGTTTGGTTCAATTTTGGTATTTCTTTGTTGATGTTTTGTTTACTTGGCTAGTGTATTTGAGTTAGTGATATGAGGTCCCCATTCTAATTGTGGTGATATTTACCTGCTCTTTTATTTACAATAGTGTTTGTTGTATGAAGTTGGGTGCACTGTTGTTTGGTGCATATATGTTTACAATTGTTATCTCTTCCTGTTGAATGGTTCTCTTAACCAATATATAGAGTTCTTCTTGCCTCTTCTGATCAGTTTTGGCAATTTTGAACTAGTATGTCTGAAAATAGGATAGCTGCTCCTGCTTCTTTTCAGATTCCTTTTGCATGAAATATTGTTTTCCATCCTTTGACTTTTAGTCTGTGAATTTCTTTTTAGGTTAAATGTGTTTCTTATATATACCATATTGTTGGGTCTTGTTTCTTGATCCATTTGTTAATCTGTGTCTTGATTTTGAATTGAGCACATGGAACTTTCTTCCCAAATTGATGACTTATTAGCAAGAGAGAAACAAGAACAACTCAAATCTACAGCCAGTGGAAAGAAAATACCTTCCAACCCAGGTTGCTATATCTTGCAAAATTGATGGAGAAATACAATATTTCTATGATAACAACCACAAAATCCCCTCAGAACTCATTAAAGAAATAAAATTGGGTAAAAAGAAGAAAGAAAAAAATTTTCTGTGTATTTCCAGATGTGTGGTTTACTTTCAGGACCTGCGGTCTTTGGAATCCAGAAAGTCACAGTCTTCTGTGCCCCACTTTATAGCCTGTGAGTTTGTGAAATGACTCTTCTGCTGAAGATGTTTTCCTATCTATAAAACCTAGTCTGTAGCAGCTGTACAAGCTGAGATTCATCCCCACTCACATTGGTACATGGGGAAGCCATCAGACCAGTTGTTTCCTCTGGGTGCAGTCAGTGGGGTGGGTGCTTAAGCAGACTGCTGGATTCAGTGCCATCACTTTCAAAACTAACCACCTCTAAAGCCAGATCTTGACTCCCACCACAGAATGTAGGCCTAGTGACATTCCTGGCCTGAACTTGAACTTTTCAGGGGATCTAGGGGGATTTGGCTACCTTCACCTTCTTCCATTCGGTCTCTTTGGCTGTGTGTCACCCAGTCACTCTGGTAGGGTAATACTTCAGTCCTGGAGTGAAGCTGTTGAATAGATGTTTCATCACTGAGTCCTATATCATCAGTCCCTTC